GAATCCCATACCACTCCCAGGAACGTAGTCCTTTGGGCTGGTATCAACACGCTCTTCTTCGTGTTTAGTCTCAACCCCAGTTTCTGGATGTGGGCAAGAACAACATCTCGATGCTGAACCGCCAGCTCTTGAGACTGGGCCAGAATCAGCCAGTCGTCTATATAGTTGAGCACCCTGATGCCCTGGAGCCTTAGAGGTGCTAGAGCTACATCCATACATTTGGTGAATGTGCGGGGAGAGAGAGCTAGGCCGAATGGAAGAACCCGATATTGGTACGCTTCGCCCCCGAAAGCGAACCTCAGGAACTTCCTGTGGGATGGACGGATGGATATATGATAGTATTCGTCCTTCAGATCTATCGTGACGAACCAATCCTCGGATTTGATCTGACTCACGATCATGGGAATAGTGAGCATCTTGAACCTGAATCTCCTCAGAGAGCGGTTCAGATATCAATTGGTGTCTCCCCAGAGACCCATCACCCAACGGAGCGTGGAAAGCCGCAATGGCAGCCACGTACACCTTGAGCGTGGACGGGGTAAGACCAGAGGAGAAGCGATCTTGGAGGAACTCCAGCACTGAAGCCACTGGGCAGTTAACTGGGTCAACCTCACGCCTCCTACACCAATCAATAAACACATTCCACTTTAAACCATACAGTTTCCTCGTGGAGGGAGCTCTAGAGCTGAGTATGGTCTCCACTACTCCAGCTGACAGGCCGGCCTCTAGGTACTGTGCCCCCTCAGGGGCCAGACCCACAGTTTCCATAACTCCGGCCGAGGGTGAAATATTGAGCCCCCCGCCTGTGTCAGCAGGTCCCTCCTGAGGGGAATCTCCCACAGAGGGCCGTCTAGGAGCAATATTATGTCCGAGAACCATACTCGGGCCGGCCACAACGGGGCTACCAACAGTAGACTGATCCCGTCGTGACGGACCCTTTCCAGAACTCCCGGGAGCAGAGCGATCGGGGAAATGCATACAGACGCAGCCTCGGCCACGTCTGCACCATAGCATCCAGCCCCAGTGGGGCTGGAGGGGTGAGGGAAAACCACAGCGGACAGTGGGTCGTCTCTCGAGACGCAAACAGGTCCACTTCCACAGGGCCGAACCTCTGACATATCGACTCCACCACCTCGGGGTGAAGTCTCCAATCCCCGGGCCTCAGCCCCTGTCTCGACAGGACGTCTGCTCCCTGATTTAGACTTCCCGGGATGTATGTTGCTCTCAGAGACAACAGTTTCCCCTGGGACCACAGGAGGATCTGATGCGCCAGTCTGCATAGAGGGCGAGACCTCAGGCCCCCTGATGGTTTATATAGGCCACCACTGACATGCTGTCTGACCTCACGAGGACGTGATGACCTCTGAGGTCCGGCAGGAAGCTCCTCAGAGCCCGGGAGACCGCCAACATTTCCAGGCAGTTTATGTGCCAGGAGGAATGATGGTCCCGCCATAGGCCTGTCGTGAAGCGGCCGTCCATGACCGCGCCCCAGCCCGTGAGGGAAGCGTCTGTCGAAACGGTTTTCCGGCGACATGGCGCTCCCAACACTGGACCTTGGGACAAGAACCAAGCTTTCTTCCACATAACCAGAGAACGAAGGCATCTGCGCGTAACTCTGATTGTGCGGAACGGGTTTCCCCTCGGGGAGAACCCCTTGGTTTTTAACCACCACTGGAGGGCCCTCATGTGCAGCAGGCCAAATGGAATGATGTTGGACGCTGCTGCCATGAGTCCCAGCACTCTCTGGAAATGCTTGACAGTGACGGCTTGGCCTAGCTTTATCCCAGCCACTGTGGCCAGAATGGACTCGACTCGCGCAGGCGACAATCGTGCCCGCATTACGACCGAATCCCATACCACTCCCAGGAACGTAGTCCTTTGGGCTGGTATCAACACGCTCTTCTTCGTGTTTAGTCTCAACCCCAGTTTCTGGATGTGGGCAAGAACAACATCTCGATGCTGAACCGCCAGCTCTTGAGACTGGGCCAGAATCAGCCAGTCGTCTATATAGTTGAGCACCCTGATGCCCTGGAGCCTTAGAGGTGCTAGAGCTACATCCATACATTTGGTGAATGTGCGGGGAGAGAGAGCTAGGCCGAATGGAAGAACCCGATATTGGTACGCTTCGCCCCCGAAAGCGAACCTCAGGAACTTCCTGTGGGATGGACGGATGGATATATGATAGTATTCGTCCTTCAGATCTATCGTGACGAACCAATCCTCGGATTTGATCTGACTCACGATCATGGGAATAGTGAGCATCTTGAACCTGAATCTCCTCAGAGAGCGGTTCAGATATCTGAGATCTATGATCGGACGCAACCCCCCATCTTTTTTGGGAACTATAAAGTAGCGGCTGTAAAACCCGGACTCCCTGTCTAGTGGAGGAATATGCTCTATGGCCCCCCTTGCCAGCAGGGAGTTTACTTCCTGTTCCAATACCCGACCCTGCGTCGGGTTGACTACAGTCCAGACCACCCCGTTGAATCTGGGTGGGTGGAACCCGAACTGCAGCCTGTACCCATATTGTATCATGCGCAGCGCCCACGGGGAAATATTCGCTAGATTTTTCCATGCATCGAAATATTTCGCCAAGGGAACCAGGCTCTCGAGCCTGGTTTCGGGTATTAATCGGGATTCGTTCTCGACCGCCTGAAACGGATCTCCGGCAGGACTGGACCGAAAACGATTCTCGATGGGCGAACGCAATCGCTGCCCGTCCGCAGGCTCGTGGGGCGGACAAAGCAGCTTGCGATCGCTGGAAACCGATGCGTCCCGAAACGTACTTGACGGCGGGAGAACAACATCGATTTCCTGCGGGCTCCGCGAGGGAGACGACCTCAGTCGCTCCATCACGGGTGGGGCCGCCCGCAGAGATCCTAGCACTGCTAGGACCTCTTAGATGTTTTCTTAGCCTGCTGGACGGCCCTCAGGTCGCCCTGCTTGGCTTGCGGCTTAGATTGAGAGCGCCGTCTATGCCCCCAAGCTCCTTGAGGGGGGGCTCTAGACGCGACGCTCTCTCTCTGAACCTGCCTGTAGGTGGAGGAGCTGGTACCTGGCTGAGGCTGCGACTGCCCACTGGGGGCAGACTTCCTGGATACTGAGCGGCGAGGGAGAAATTGTTTGAAGGCCGCTGATTGATTTTTCGCCTCCTGAAACCTGTCGACAACGGTATTAACAGCGTCGCCGAACAGGCCAGAAGGCGAAATCGGGGCATCAAGGAGGAAAGCCCTGTCTTTCTCCCTGATGCCCGTCAGATTTAACCATAAATGTCTCTCCGAGACCACCATTGCCGCCATGGAGCGACCGACAGCGCGGGCCGTCTCTTTGGTGACTCGGAGAGACAAATCAGCGACCTTCCTCAACTCCGCCACATCCTCCGGAGTTGGTCCCTCGCCCTCATCAATATCCTTAAGAAGGTCGGCCTGGTACGCTTGGAGAAGCGCCATGGTGTGAAGACTCGCACCAGCCCGACCCGCAGCCATATATGCCCTGCCCACCAGTGAAGATGTTTCTCTGCATGGCTTGGTGGGCAGCACCGGGGCTTTAAAGGATGATGCCGACTCAGGTGATAAATAATTAGCCAAAGGCTGTTCAACCCGCGGCATCATCCCATAACCATTCTCTCGTGCCCCCATGATATTACTATATTTTAATATAGTGGGATTGGAAACACGAGAAGAATGGGGTTTCTTCCACGATTTACACACCTCAGTATGCAAATCGGGAAAAAACGGTAAGCCCCGATGACGAGTTTGTTCCCTGTGCTGCAGGAAGCGCTCATCTAATTTGCTTTTAATTTGCACTTCCTGCTTTTCTTGTGGCCAATCGATCTTTAAATGAGCCACTGCACGGGAAACAACCTCTACCAGCACCTCATATGCGGGGACACGGGGTGGCGAGTCATCCCCGAAGTCCCCGCCCCCTTCGATGCTGAGCACGTCCACCTCCTCGGAAGCAGACAGCTCAAGCATCGGATCCTCGACTCGCGCAGAAGAAGCCGCCGAGCGGGCTTCTGCGCGAGGCTCGAGGGCATCGGAACTGTCCGATGAATCCCGAGAAGGTGCCTCAGCAGCCTCGGGATCCCCAGACAGATCCATTTGCGAGCCCCATGAAGAGCGTCGCCGCGCCGCCTCGGCGGACGCGGGTCCCGCACCACGGGGCTCACGAGGCTGACCCTCTTCATTGAAAAGGGCCAGCCGGGAACGCAGCACGCGGAGCGGTAAAGCCTCACAATGCTCGCAAGCAGCTCCCTCGAGAGCTGCCTGCGCGTGCTGCATTCCCAGACAATGTGTACACAGTTGGTGTGTGTCCCCGCCCGTGATGTAGCGAGGGCAAGGGTGCACACACCGCCTGAAATTCACACTCGCCATTATTCAGATTTTAGGGAGATATACTTGCTTAGACAGACAAACAATAAATAAGACTGACAGTCACAGAGAGCGCTTAGCTGAAGAACAGAAAGCTGACATGTTGTGTGTGCCGGTTCCTTATATATGCTTCCACCTATGTGTCGTCACACATCACGTCATCACGTTGATCCAATCGGAGATTGGCTTAGTTTCATTCATGCTTCAGAGACGCTACGCTGAGGGGCGTTCCCCCAAAGTGTCACTTGGACGCAGTTCGAGTTCCCTCGATAGGGAACTGATATGTTCACTTACATTGCAAACATTAAAAAATCAATTAACTTAAACTTATGACAACTTATCAATTTTACTTGATAACCAGAAAAAATTCCAAGTGAGAAAGGATATTTAACAAGAAAACAATGTAGGTTGGGTCTGTTTTTTCATAATATGGGAATTCATGGTGAAAAGAGTTTAATGTACCGTATGCTGTCAGGTGTTTGAAAAGTAAGAGCTGTTTCTGATCCTACACAGGTTGAGGCGACTTATATTTTAGTACGATGACACAGAGCTGCCATAACTAAGAAGTTTAAAGACACCTTTAGTTTGTAATCTGTGTTTCACAATTGTCATTTCATGCTGCTCTGTCAGAATCGCATGCGTCTGATGGATCTGGAGGAGACCTTCACTCTCTGGCTAGAATGGATGTGGATCGGTTGGCTGTACTTTTAGACATATGGACATGTGAAACAGAATTTCTGGAGCACAAAATACAGGTATGTGATGTGTGACTGCAATTCAGTGTAATTTTAATGATAATGTACTCTACCGTTCAAATGTTTGGGAATGTTTTTAAAAGGAGCTCAGCCAGGCTGCATTTTATTTGATCAAATATACTGTAGATTAAAAACAGTAATTATATTTTAATTGTATTATATTATTTAATATGTATTTTAAAATGTAATTTATTCCTGTGATGCAAAGCTGAATTGTCAGTTACATGATCCTTCAGAAATCATTATACAGCGCAGTCTCACCCCAAAAAGTCATATAACTGACGTTTTGGGACGTCTTTTGACCATACGTCAATATTCGCCTTTTTAGGGCCCCCTTAAACGTCGGTAGATGAGGTTATGGGATCCTAACTCTACCCCAGACCTAAACCTAACCCTAAACCTAACCCGTCACCTAACTGACGTTAAAGGTAAAGCGTCAGTTGTATGACGGCCCGGGATCGCCATCTACCGACGTTTAAGGGGGCCCTAAAAAGGCGGATATTGACGTATAGTCAAAAGACGTCCCAAGACGTCAGTTATATGACTTTTTGGGATGAGAATGTGTTGCATTATAATATGCTGATTTGCTGTTCAAGAAACATTTCTTATTATTATCAATGTTGAAAACCGTTGCGCTGCTTCATATTTTTGTGGAAACTGAGATACGTTTTTCCAAGATTATTTGATGAACAGACAAACAGCCTTTATTTCAAATGGAATATAAAATGTATTTACTGGCACTTTCACAATTTAACTACAATTAGAATGATATATTTCTTTCAAATGACTTGCCTCCCCAAACTTTTGAACAGAAGTGTATGTCAATGATAAAATGGCATCTTGTATTTACAGCTCTTGAATTGCTATTTGGAGGCGTATCAGCATGTCACAGATCCAGAGGAGCAGTTCAGATTGGCTCAGGTCATCACAGATGTCATGCACAGAAGGCCACAGATTGATTTTACTGCTGGATATTTTGTTCAAGCTTACAGGGACACGATCGTCTGCATCCACAGCCACCAACAGCTTATCAAACTAGTGCTGAACAACCATGTAACCAAGCATTTGCTGTTTAATCATGTTTAGCCCACCTAAAATGTCAGATTATTTTATTCTCTGATGTTTCCTGAACGTTAGATTGATGAGCAGCGGCAGTACCTGGAGAGAATATGGAGGGAGGGACAGAAAGGTTGTCCTAGTGAATACGGCCTGCCACCAAACTGCATCCCTAAACATTTGGTATCAGTCGGTGGAAGCAGGTAAAGATTAAACTAATCAATAGCGTAACTCAAATGTTGACACTGTTTACTTTATTAAAGAGGACCTATTATGCTTCTTCTTCTTTCTTTTTTACAATTTCAGCTTTTTAGACTGTGTAATACTTCTGTTTGATGAAAACAGTCTGCAGAGTTACAAAGCACAAAGTCACTCCAAAATGAGTATTACTATATCAATAAGCACTGTTTCTGAACTTCCCGATTGTAGTCTTGAGATTTCATCTGGAAAGTGTGTCACAATATTTCTCGTTTAAAGAATTCTTGTCCGAGGCCTTCGCTAAATAAATGGGGTGAGGCCTGGTGGAGTTAGTTAGTAGTGTGTTGAAAATTGCAGTAATGGCACATTTCTAAAACACACTGGAAGAGGTTGACCAATCACAACACACTGGTTCAGCCGACCAATCAGAGAGCATATTGCCCTTTTCAGGAGGAGGGGCTTCATAGAGACCGAAACTAAACATTTAAGCATCGTTAGTCAACTAAGTTCGCAAGTTCCATCGTTACCAATAGAGTTCAATGGAAATTGCGACCAACTTGCGACCATAGTTGGCTAATGATTCTTTCGGGAAACGCACCCCAAAGTGTTTCTGACAGACTGGGAAGAGAGGTACTGCAACCATGTAAAATATGTGACAAACAATGTTTTTTGAACATCTAAGCATGAAAACCAATTCTAGAAGACCCCAAAACAAAATCAAGACTTTGAAAAAGGGCCTAATATGGCCTCTTTAGTACTTGTTTCTAGTCGTATTTAGCACAATACTTGTAATTACTGTACTTTAAATAATTGAGCATGGCACTAACAATGCAAATTCATGCATTCGATTCCCAGTGAATGGGAATGTTATGCAAAGACAGTGGATAAAATCATCTGCCAAATGCATCATTTTAAATATAAATGACTACATGTGTCACGTAGTGAATTTATGTGTGTTGCGTTGGTGCTCTCAAGTTTCTTGCTTCTAGTGTCTTGTTTTAAGTTTCTTTAATAAAGCTACACTGCGTTTGGACCCAGCCTCAGCTCTGTTTCTCCGCACAGCGTCACAGAACAACCAACCTCAATATGGGTCCAGCAGTCGTCAGCAACCGGGCTATGACAGAATACCTGTCGTCAGTCTTGCAAGAGGGCCGGTCTGTCCAAAGGTACGCGAAGGAGTTCCTGTCCATTAGCAGTCTGGGAGCGCTAGATGATATCCAGCTCATGGGCCTGTTTCTGAATGGGCTGGATTATGAGATCGCTCGATGGATGCCGCGGGACCTTGCCAACTGGACTCTTGACGGGTATGTCGCTCGGGCTCGTTACTTGCAGGACCTCTTCACTACTGCGCGCTTATTCTACTCGACACCTGCCGAGTGTACTTTACCCGCGAAGCCCTCGTCGTCTTCACCGCTGGTTCACGTCAGTCACGATGAGCCCGCGCTTCACGTGCGCATTGACGAGCCCGCGATTCACGTCAGCCCAGCCGAGCCCGCGCTTCACGTCAGCCCAGCCGAACTCGCGATTCACGTGAGCTCCGTTGCATTCCTGCCTCAAGAGTTTTCCACTGAGCGCGTGCCAGCCGAGTCAAGTGAGTCAACGGCCGAGTCAAGTGAGTCAACGGCCGAGTCAAGTGAGTCAACGGCCGAGTCAAGTGAGTCAACGGCCGAGTCAAGTGAGTCAACGGCCGAGTCAAGTGAGTCAACGGCCGAATCAAGTGAGTCAACGGCCGAGTCAAGTGAGTCAACGGCCGAGTCAAGTGAGTCAACGGCCGAGTCAAGTGAGTCAAGTGTGTCCAGGTCCAAATCAAGTGAGTCAAGTGTGTCCAGGTCCAAATCAAGTGAGTCAAGTGTGTCCAGGTCCAAATCAAGTGAGTCAAGTGTGTCCTGGTCCAAATCAAGTGAGTCAAGTGTGTCCTGGTCCAAATCAAGTGAGTCAAGTGTGTCCAGGTCCAAATCGAGTCAAGTGAGCACTGAATCTCCTCTTCAAGTGAGCGCTGCATCTCCTCTTCAAGTGAGCGCTGAATCTCCTCTTCAAGTGAGCGCTGAATCTCCTCTTCAAGTGAGCGCTGAATCTCCTCTTCAAGTGAGCGCTGAATCTCCTCTTCAAGTGAGCGCTGAATCTCCTCTTCAAGTGAGCGCTGAATCTCCTCTTCAAGTGAGCGCTGCATCTCCTCTTCAAGTGAGCGCTGCATCTCCTCTTCAAGTGAGTGAGTTGTCCAGTCCAGCGAGTGTGTCTAGCCCTGTGACGCGCCGCCGCAGGAGGAGGAGGAGAAGGAGGACTCGTTTGGTTCGCCAGGCCCCGGTGAGCGTGCCCAGACTCCTCGCTCTGCCGGCCCCGCCTCTGCGCCTCGCCCTGCCGGCCCCGCCTCTGCGCCTCGCCCTGCCGGCCCCGCCTCTGCGCCTCGCCCTGCCGGCCCCGCCTCTGCGCCTCGCCCTGCCGGCCCCGCCTCTGCGCATCACCTTGACTGCGCCCTTCAAGCTCCGGGAGACCTTTCCTGAACCCGTTTACCACCCAGAGGCTCCTCCCGTGAATTTCCCCAAGTATTTTTTGGGGGGGGGCAGTAGGTACTCTGTGGGGGCCATGGAGGCGAGGCTGTCATGGACCTTGCCTGTGTCTGCTCCGCCCTGGCCTCTGCCACGTCCTGCTCCGCCCTGGCCTCTGCCACGTCCTGCTCCGCCCTGGCCTCTGCCACGTCCTGCTCCGCCCTGGCCTCTGCCACGTCCTGCTCCGCCCTGGCCTCTGCCACGTCCTGCTCCGCCTTGGTCTCCGGCCCAGTCTGGTAGGCCCATGCTCTGCGGCCCAGGCCCGCCTTGGCTACCTCCTGGTCCTGTTCCCCTGCACGGGCCTGGCCCTCCGTCCCTCCCCCAAGACTGTCTCCGCTTCACCGCCCTCCTGAACTGTTTGTTTTTTGTATGGGCGTCGGGAGCCGCCCATAGGGGGGAGGCTATGTCACGTAGTGAATTTATGTGTGTTGCGTTGGTGCTCTCAAGTTTCTTGCTTCTAGTGTCTTGTTTTAAGTTTCTTTAATAAAGCTACACTGCGTTTGGACCCAGCCTCAGCTCTGTTTCTCCGCACAGCGTCACAACATGTAATGGATAAAAAAATGCAGACCTTTTATTCTTGTTAAATATGACATCACATTAAGGGATGCATCACAAAATTAATTGCAAATGTTGTTTTAAATATAAATCTAAAAGCATAAAAGGCAAAATACTTGTTTTAGTGTCTGTCTTTGTGCCTTCTTTGCAGGCCTTCTTTGAAGAGTGTGTATTTTTTAGAGATACACCCCTCTTTGTGTTTGGCGTCTCGGCTGTATGAGGATCTTGAACGGTCCTGTACTGAACTATTTGAGCTGCACAGAGCCAAAACACCATCTCAGAGAGTCAACCTTGAGCAAAGGCTCTTGAAAACGGCCCTGCATCGTTGGCACACGCTTGCAGCTCCTGGCACCACCTACAGTTCTCAGATCCAGAGAGACGTATGTGTCTTTTTTTGTTGCTTCAAATACACTGTAAACTGTAACTCAATCATAGCAATGGGTGTTTACTTTCAAGTCTTGAATATGACGCCTATTAAAACAAGAGTGTTTCAAAGAGAGGGTCAAAAATGGCCTGGTTTTTGTTGTAAAATCTTTGCTAACATTTTGAGTGGACCTCAGAGAACATTCAAGTTTATTTTTTTTAAATGTTGTTCATGACCCGCTTTTTAAGTGTGTGCAATGATTAACATTTTGAGCTGTAGTATTCAACATTGATGTTGCATTTTCAATCCAGCAAGTGGCATCTATTTATCAACTAACAAAGAAATGTTCTGTATTGTTTCAGTTGTTCTCAGATGGGTTCGTGGAAGATCCTGTTCTGGTCAGAGTGCTAGGAATGTCCGTTGTGAGATCTGCAGAGGAACAGGAGAGGAAACAAGGCAAAGACAGACAGTTGTTCATGCTGAAGATGTTCTGCACATTGTTAGAGCTCGTCACACTCCGTCACCGCATCATTGAATCCGCTTCAGAAACTGAACATCTGTCCCAGTTGAGTTGGAAAACAATATTGCTGAGCAGTTCATTTTTTCCTTGATTAGTTTCAGTTATTGAAACTTGGATGCAAAAAATGGTTCATTACTTCATTTCCACAATGAAGGATGGGGCAGAAATAGCTTAAGCCTGTTTGGCAGAAAAGACAGCATGCAAATGGACTGTTTAATTATTCATTTGTCAGAGAGGGTGGAAAATGATCATGAAAAATCTAATTATGTTTTTGAAACATAAGTGGACTTCGGTGAGGAAAAAAGATGAAAAATGTATAATGAGGATCGTTGCATTTTGACATTATTTTAATGACAGTTAAACCTTTAAATATATACTGTATAATATATAAATAAATAAATGTATACAGTATATAGATAATAGTGCTCCCAAAAATGACTAAATAACGCTTATTTGTCTAATTAATTGTACCTATAACCTTAATGTTTTTAATATATTTTTATATTGTTATACTTTCACATTGGATCTTCAAAGTAATGTAAAAACAACATAAAGATGATAGATTTAAAATGTCTTTAATGCTATTTTTTTCTCTAAGCACTATGAATCACTGATACTGTACTGAACTGATGATCACAGTACTAATACTAATGTCTCTATTAAATTGATGTTTTTCCTCAATATTATCTATTAATTATAGCCATTCAATGTTATGGTAAAATTGAAAGCCATTAATATAGTCTATTAAAACTAACTTTATTTTAATTTTTTAAACAAAGTCAATGGTAAGGATTTATTCTACCTATTCAGATTTTTTACATACCCTGCTAAAATGCACAAAAAGTTATTGCTTTCATTGTTTTTGACCCATGTAACCTTGTAAACAGCACTTTTTAGGTTTTACAGGTAAATATACAGGAATTGAATTATTGACACAATTGAATCAAACACTGCATAACTTGCATAGCACTTGAAAGAATAATAGCGTTGATCATACTGTAGTGCTGCCAAAGGATGACATAAAAAACAGATGCTGTCTTAATTGCATATAAAATAACTCGTTAAACTGAAAAAGGCGTTATTTTTGACTGCCCTCTAATAAAATATATATGCACACACAATTATATTTACATTTTATACAATATATTTTTGCTGCCTTTAATCATTCCTTCAAATGATGACTGAAAAAACAACTGAAATGATCAAACTCTCAGCTGAATGTCTTTTGCTTTCTGTCATGTCGCTCTAGATTATATAAATCAGTGGCCAGAGTGATGGGCTTTGACGATGTTCATTTGTACATGCGGCCGGTGCAGTTTGAGGTTGCTGTGAGGAAAGAGACTACAAAACAACTTCCCGTCTTCATCACCGCCCTTCAGGACGACAAACAGAATGCGGACAGGTAAAAGTCTGCAGGACCAATATTGACCTGTCATGCTCATTATCAGAATCCGTTGATAGCGATGTCATTGAACGCAGTGTAGTGTGTGTATAAGGTTTGTTGCAGCCTAAATGCTGTAATTAGTGGTTGCTTTTAAAGGCATAGTTCACTTTGAAATTAATTTTTGATATGTTTTAGTTTACCTCAAGGGCATCCAAGATGTAGGTGTCTTTGTTTCCACAGTATTTTCAATTTTGATATTTTTAGGTCAAACCGTTCTTGTCTGTCAGTCATATAATGGAGGTTTATGGTCACCACCTCAAAGAGCATGCACAGAGAATTAAACATGATTTAATGACTCGTAAATGTAAGTACACATTGATGACCTAAGACATGAAACGAGCGTTTTGTTTTGTTTTTTGTGAGAAAACGAACAGTATTTATATCGTTTTTACCTCTTGTAACCACAGCCACGTCCAAGTGATCTGAAGGCACGGGCGCTTCGGTCTGCGCAAGCGCCGGAAAACGCCGGATGTGATCTCTTGCGCGGTTGCGGAAAAAAAATTAAACGTTGTCTGTTGATATATCGAAATCGTCTTCCATTGCAGTTCCCTGTATATCTAAAGATGTTTAGATCTTCACAGTAAAGGGTAACACTTCTGAAATCTCATGCTTTCCGGCGCTCGCCGCCAGCGCTTGCACAGACCGAAGCGCCCGTGCCTTCAGATCACTTGGATGTGGCTGTGATTACAAGAGGTAAAAACTATATAAATACTGTTCGTTTTCTCACACAAACCGCTCGTTTCATGTCTTAGGCCATCAATGTGTACTTACATTTACGAGTCATTAAATCATGTTTAATTTGGACTTCACTGTGCGTGCTCTTTGAGGTGGTGACCATTGGTTCCGAATGTGTAAAATCGAGTTGATTTTAGTTTATCCCATTCCCTTTGTTTCATAGGTTTGCCCCAAACTGCCTGCCTCTGTGTGTTCAGGAACTTGATGAGAGTGATATTGGCAAATTTAGCTTTCAATCTAACGAAGCAGTTCTACAGGTAATCACTTGATTTATAATTGTTATGCACATCATTTTTGTTCAGCATATGAATCATTTGACTTTTCGTCTCTGTGCGTCAGCTCATGAATCAGTCCAGCTTGGAGAACCTGCATGTGGTTCTGGTGTGTCAGGTGGTTCAGAAGAATGCTCTGATTGGAGCGCTTAAACAAGCGTCCTTGTGCTATAGGATAGAGAAGCTGGATCAGTCCTCGGATACAGAGCTGCCACTGCAGCATGAGGGATCGGCTTCCTCTGAAACCAGGAGACGTGCCTTAGCTACTAGAAACAGGTCTACATGCATGAAGAAAATTAAGCTTTTCAGAAAGTTTTTAATGCCGATTTAAAGCAAAAGATTTTCTGATTTGAAATACTTTACATTGTCTTATCATTATGCTCGTATTTGTTTTTCTGCCTTTAATTTATGTTAAATGAAATAAACAGAAATCACTGTTCTTAATCATATTCTTAATAGAAAATACAATGGTTAGTGAGATTCACCCATGTGTAGAGTAATTTGGATACACTTTTTATTGATGCCCCCCCGTGTGAAATGTTTGTTGTAATTCAGGCTTGCAGGGGCTTTTGTGTCCATTCAGCTGGAGAAAGTAGGAGTTCGAGATGAAATGCTGAATGCCTTTATAAAGAAGAAAGAACAGACGAGTTCGCTGAAGCTAAGCTCTGTATGTAAGCGTTAGAGCTGCACGGTTAATTGTTAATAATCACAATCACGATTCGATTCTCGCTGACAAAATCATATAAGAACATATAACATGATACGGTATTATGATTCCCATGGTAGAAATATTCGAAAAACACTTTACTTGAAGGGGTGTGCGTAAGACTAACATGACACCTTCATAATCATGACATGACATATGTTATGAATATTAAGGAAGTTTTATGCATGTTTGTGACAACTGCCATTAAGTGTCATTCGCTCAGTTAGGACATTTTTAATGCAAATATGACATTGTTTGAGATTTGTTATGACACCTTGACATAAACCAATACATCATAACCTGTCAGTGTCTTTGTCATGACAACTTGACATTACTAAGACAACACAACCTGTCATAAACATGACATAGCAGATTAATGATCAAACGTAAGAAACCACCTTTATTGGTTAGCATTTACATTAAACTGTCAGGTGGTTGGTTTTGACATTGGCTGTCATGAAGCCATTATAAATTTTTAATGACAAATTCAATGTGTACCACTGTAGTTGAGGTCACGAAAAATATTCATGACACAGTCATAATGGCCTCATGACAGCCAATGTCAAAGCCAACCACATGACAGTTTAACTTAATTTTATGTCAAGTTGTCCTGACAAAGACACTGACAGGTTATGATGTTATGGCTTATGTCAAGATGTCATAACAAAGACATTTTAAACAATGTCATATTTGCATTCAAAATGTCATTATTGAGCGAAAGACACTTAATGACAGTTGTCATAAACATGCATAAACCTTACTTCATATTCAAGACATATGTCATGTCATGGTTATGAGGGTGTCATGTCAGTGTTATGCACACCCCTTCAAGTAAAGTGTTACCAAATATTCAAATGATCACAGAATTACTGGCATAAAGGGTAGAACGGAATAAAGTAAAACCCCTTTTGAAAGTAACTTAAATAACATTTGTATCGATTACAGTTACACCAGTAGGTGGCGACTGGTGGCTGATAAAAAAATGTGTTTGTCATTGAATCATTTGTTCAAGAGATTCCTTGAAAAACGCTGATTCATCCAGTAATGAAGCAAGTCGAGTCTTTATGAGTAAGTCGTTGAATCATTCATTCAAACCATTATATATATATATATATATATATTCTGTAGCAATTAACATTTTGTCAGAACCTCTAGTAATTTACAAGTTGTTTTGTTTAGTTGTCTATTCAGAATTGTGGGAGAATCGTGATCTCTATTTAAAAAAACAAACAAACAAACAAACAAAAAAAAACTTGATTCTATATATCCAGAATCGTGCAGCTCTAATAAGCGTTAAGAGAAAACTGATTTTAATTGCTCAATTAAATGGAAAGGTTCCTTATTCCTTCATTCTTCTCTCTAAAGGAAGAAGTGGCCAGGATCAAGAGGAAACTGATTCTGGATTTCTGTCACAAGTAGGCTTAGTCACAGAATTATGTTTCCCACATTTTATTTTCTATAAAAGGAGGAAATGACCCTAAATCTTGATATTACAGTGTTCTTTGCTCTAGCACTGGTTATGTCTCTTTCAGATTTAACATGCGCATGTCACAGAGTTGTGTCCGAGGGCAGGTTGTAGCTCTTTGCCACAGTTTCACCTCACTGCTCCACGAGGTGCCACACATCCGCGACCAACACTTTGTGATGGGAACACCCAACGAAACCAGATCAGACCTGCAGTCAGAGGACAGAGTGTGTCCTGATCCAAGGTGAAGCATATACTGTAGAAGAGTTCCAGTTTAAGGCTTAAATGCTTGAACATTTAGTTTTGTAGACAAATAAATTGTTTAAGTCATTTTATTAATGCATGAGTTGGGCTGAATAGTGAATGATAAATAATCAAGTGTTAAAGGATGTCAAAATGACAAACAGTGGTAACTATTAAAGGAGTTGTTCACTTTTAAGTTTTGCTGATAATTTACTCACCCCCATGTCATCCAAGATGTCCATGTCTTTCTTTCTTCAGTTGAAAAGAAATTTAAGTTTTTGATGAAAACATTCCAGCATTTTTCTCCATATAATGGACTTCAATGGGAACCAAACGGTTCAAGATCCAAAAGACAGTTTCAGTGCAAACTGTTCAAAGGGCTTTTAAACAATTCCAGACGATGAATAAGGGTCTTATCACGCTTGATAAGATCCTTCAAGCGTAATAAGACCCTTATTCATCGTCTGAAATCGTTTAAAGCCCTTTGAACAGTTTGCAGTTTGCACTGAAACTGTCTTTTGGACCTTGAACTGTTTGGTTCCCATTGAAGTCAATTATATGGAGAAAATCCTGGAATGCTTTCATCAAAAACCTTAATTTCTTTTCAACTGAAGAAAGAATGACATGGATATCTTGGATGACATGGGGGTGAGTAAAATATCAGCAAAACGTTTTTTTTCTAAAAGTGAACTACTTTAAGAAACAAAAATAAAATGTATATGTATATTTCATAGTTTTGATGGATTTTGTATCATAGAAAATGTGGAAAATAGTAAAAATAAATGAATACACAAAAAAAACCCTCAAATAAATAAATGCATGCACGAAAAAATGCATAAATGCATGCAAAACTAAATGCACAAATAAATACATGAATAAATGAATACATAAATAAATAGTCACAATGTAAATGCCTTTCTAAATCAAAACTGTTTCTGGCTGTTCAGGACATTTCAGCCTCGTCCCAGAAGACTGCTATCAGCCGATGGAAAGACTCTAGTAAACCTGTGGTTCATCCCTCATCATACAGAAGTGCTGCTCATGTTCAGGATTCTGGAGGAGAAGGTGAGAAATGCATCTGTGTCTAATAAACATGGCATTGTGTCCCAGTTCTCGTTATAACACAGGGGCCCCTAAAAGTGTTTGCATAAAGTTGAAATATGTATTTTTTTTTTAATAAAAAAAACAAAACATTCTCTTAACCCAGAGGGTGTGTCAGAGGGTGTTTAGCTGGTGTGGGACCATGACTGATGTGTGTTACATGAGAAAAGACATTCAGCGCCGGGTCATGAACAACTCAAAGTGAAACAAGGCATTGCAATACTGTACAATGGATGCTTCAATACATCATCATTGTGCACTTATTGAGTACCAGTTTATAATTGTCATGTCCTTTGTAGAGGTTGAGAGCCTTAAACAGTTGTGGCTTGTCATGTCAAAAAATGTACGTTGGATGGGTTTATTAAAAGCGAGATGCATGAGTTCACTATATAGAGAGTTTTAGTCTACTTATTTACCTACTCAGGACACATAAGCCGTTTCTCAATATGCGTACTTGTCTGTACTTGTGTTCTTGTGGACTTGTGAAACGTCATCAGTCGCTGCCGAAGTACTGTTCCAATTCAAAGTTCGCATCTAGCCAAGTCCACTTCAAATCCCCGGATGTGTTCTTGATCCGCCCCGTTTACCGAGGATGCATCGAGAGGTGACTTGTTTGGACTTGAGATAGCCAGGTAACCCAGAATGCACCTCGCACCAACCAGCAAGCGTCAATAGGAGAATAGAAAATCCGCGAAATATCAAAATACTACTGTTATTGAGTCATGAAATGTAATTTTAAGAGTGTTTCAGGCGAGAATGTGGTTGTTTAAATCTCAAATCTGTAGTTTATTTATAAAGATAGCACCTATCCGAAAAATGCATCTGACGTTTTCGGAGTTCTGCCATCCAAGCCTTCAGCGGACACTCAGCGAGATCAACCCCGACTGGAACAGCTTATCCTCGGCTAGTGCTTCTGACGTTTGCCGTCAGCTCTGATCTAGTCTAGTGGATAAACCTTGACATATAATTCGTCTTGTGTATAAGTCTATCTTTGGTCTCATTAAACTATAGTTTGTTCCATGGCGCAAAAAAAAAAAAAATAGTTTTTGAGGTTTCATGGCTATTTAACTTTAACAATATTTTTTTATATTATCTTCACAATATGAACAATAAAATAAAATAACATAACCCTGTCTTTGTTTGAAAAATGTCAATAAAAATCAGTGTTTCCTATTTTTAAAATGAAAACAAAAAGATCATGTTCATTTTGTTATAAATATATGCAGTGAAGAGAATCGCGTTGCCTGAACCACATGGCCATTAGGCTAATAGGCTATATTGTTTTTTGTTAATGAAAAGAGTCAGAGGGGTGTTTTATAACATGTTTCGTTTTATTGTTGACGAAAAGATGCAGAGTTGTAGCAAATTTCGTTTTATTGTTGCCTAAAATATAGAGTAGAGCGTGCTGAGTGACGCGATCAAGTACGCTCTGTTCCATTTGCAGAAGAACCGGACTTGCGTCCTCGCATCCTCGGGAGTTCGTTCTCCGGAGTCGAACTTGCAAGTCTGAACTACCAAGGACGCAAGTCCGAAGTCTGCGTACTTGGTATTGAGAAACGACTATACACTCACCCAAAGGATTATTAGGAACACCGGTTCAATTTCTCATTAATGCAATTATCTAATCAAACAATCACATGGCAGTTGCTTCAATGCATTTAGGGGTGTGGTCCTGGTCAAGACAATCTCCTGAACTCCAAACTAAATGTCAAAATGGGAAAGAAAGGTGATTTAAGACATTTTGAGCGTGGCATGATAGTTGGTGCCAGACGGGCCGGTCTGAGTATTTCACAATCTGCTCAGTTACTGGGATTATCACACACAACCATTTCTAGGGTTTACAAAGAATGGAGTGAAAAGGATAAAAACATCCAGTATGCGGCAGTTCTGTGGGCGAAAATGTCTTGTTGATGCTAGAGGTCAGAGGAGAATGGGCCGACTGATTCAAGCTGATAGAAGAGCAACTTTGACTGAAATAACCACTCGTTACAACCGAGATATGCAGCAAAGCATTTGTGAAGCCACAACACGCACAACCTTGAGGCAGATGGGCTACAACAGCAGAAGACCCCACCGGGTACCACTCATCTCCACTACAAATAGGAAAAAGAGGCTACAATTTGCAAGAGCTCACCAAAATTGGACAGTTGAAGACTGGAAAAATGTTCCCTGGTCTGATGAGTCTCGATTTCTGTTGACACATTCAGATGGTAGAGTCAGAATTTGGCATCCATCCATCATTGTTATCACTGTGCAGGCTGGTGGTGGTGTAATGGTCTGGGGGATGTTTTCTTGGCACATTTTAGGCCCCCTCGTGCCTATTGGGCATCGTTTAAATGCCACGGCCTAACTGAGCATTGTTTCTGACCATGTCCATCCCTTTATGGCCACCATGTCCCCATCCTCTGATGGCTACTTCCAGCAGGATAATGCACCATGTCACAAAGCTCGAATCATTTCAAATTGGTTTCTTGAACATGACAATGAGTTCACTGTACTAAAATGGCCCCCACAGTCACCAGATCTCAACCCAATAGAGCATCTTTGGGATGTGGTGGAACGGGAGCTTCGTGCCCTGGATGTGCATCCCACAAATCTCCATCAACTGCAAGATATCCTATCAATATTGCTTTCGGCACCTTGTTGAATCAATGCCACATAGAATTAAGGCAGGTTTAAGGCTAACTCTAACCCTGAAGGTGAAAGGGGGTCAAAACAATAAACTTGTTGCAGGCTTTAGTTGGTTTACAGTGTTGACATCCATTCCATTCAATTTACAAGTGATTAGAACAGCTTCCAACGGATGAATGAACTTAGTTTTAAGTTATAAGTGACTTGAAACAGCAGTTAGCCATTTCAGTAGAAAAAGTTTTCTTAGGTTCAAATTAGGTTGATAACCTTTTAAAGAAATCAGAATAAAATACCTGATTATAATCAAACATTTGGCATCCTATGCATTAACACATGTATACACACTTTTAAGTACACATAATGAACCGTATGCACTCTAATGCAACAATATCATACTTAATATAAGGTTCAAATATGGTTCAAACACACAAGATGGCATTTATCTGAATAATAAATTGGCAATTAAGCTTGTTCAAACTCTACCAGCAGCGTATCCGTGTTGACTAATCACTGATGTGCATC